TTATAGTCTCTTGTGGTAAGATATTAGCAAAAAAGAGAACCCAGCATTTTACAGTGTGGACACTCAAACCGGGACACTTGGAAGAAGATCGTCCAATGACAACGTTTTCTGAAAACAAAAAGATCCTAAATTTTTTTTTGCAAACGGATTTATAAACTTCAAGGTTCAACCATGCAAACGTTAAAAACTTTGAAACAATTTGAATCTGCCTGACCTATCAGGAAACAGCCCGCTGTGGTTGGACGATCTTCTTCCAAGTGCTCCGGTGCCGGAGAAATTGCTTAGTTTTTGTAAATAAAGCAAATCGTAATTTTTCCAAACACTATATTCCTCGGCGCAATTATTTAACCTTTCAAAACTAAAATACGTTTCTTTGAAATTTTAAGTCTTCCATAAATATACCTGACTAGTAAACTAGATAAACCAAAACCCCAAAAGCCTAACCAAATCTTTTTCCAGTGCACGTGATTTTCATTTTGTTTCCAGACTGACACCATAAGGGTTGAAAATAGGCAAACGCCAAATAGCTAGCTTTTCGACAGAAGAAACCGTTGAGACCTAACAGCTTAAACATATTTGACTAATGGACTGTACATGTCAGCTTCCTGATGGGTCTTATTAAAGAACAACCTCGTACTCAGGGTTCTCTCCCACCCGCCCTACGGAGCCCGTAGGGCGGTGTCACAGCGTTTTGGGCATCCCCGCGTTTTGGGCATCCCCGTTCCCATATCCCTAGCGTTTTGGGCATCCCCTTCTCATAATACTGCAGCGTTTTGGGCATCCCCCGGTACCCTCCCGGGATGCTCAAATCCCTAGTGTTTTGGTCATCCCGTCCAAAAAAATGCCGGATTTCGCGGCAAAATCGAAAACGTTTTAGAGATGGCTTCCGCTAAATATAGAAATCTTTTCCAGTATCTTAAAAAGAAGGCTTATCCGGAAGGCTTTACAAAGCAAAAAACGACTCTGGGAAAATTTGCCAAAAAGTTCGAGTATGACTCAAAATTAGAGTCCTTGTTCTACATGGCCAAGGAGAAGGGTGGCACAGCGCTTCGACGACTTGTTATCACCGAGGAAGAGAAAGCGAGGGTCTTCGAAGAGTGCCACTCTGCTCCTTTCTCTGGACACGCCGGCTGCGATAATACTTTTGCACCCTGTGAAGGTTGTTCCCAAAGTGTGGTAGTTGGTCGGAATTGATTTAATAGAAGCCCCTACTACATCTCCAAACGGCAACAGATTTCTTCTGTCCCGTAGGTGCAAGATCGATCAAGAGGCCTCTGCATAAATTGTGTGACAGCCTTTCGTGTGTCAAGTAGCGCTGCGGGGTTAAGTTGTACAGGCCTCAAATGTCATGCATACTATGAATTCAACACCGCAAAACGCAGTTTTATTCATATTTGTTTTTTGATTGCTTTGTTTAGTATTTTTGTTTTGGGATGTTTGGAATCAGACGATCGCAGCTGCCGGCGATTGCGGCATTGCTCGCTTGTAAACAGTTCTATTAAATAAAATTGAAGCTTTGCAAACAATGAAGCGTTGTTAACAGCGAAGAGATGATACGCGGTTATAAATTTTCAGTTTCGTCATGTTTTGAGCAAACGTTTACTGCCTATGGTTTTTTTTTCTACGCAATAAACCCGGCGAAACGGTGTCAGACGATATAATTCTAACATGCATCTACACTATTCAGCTGTAAATTCGTGATTGACAATCCCGACTTCTCCCCAGTCTGAAATAATTTAGGCAAAGTCGAAGCGATCAGCGTTTTGAGCATCCCCCACCGGGGATGCCCAAAACGCTAGGGATATGGGAATGGGGATGCCCAAAACGCGGGGATGCCCAAAACGCTGTGACAGCGGGTAGGAGAGAACCCTGGGAACGAGGTTGATTCAAGAATTACTCACCGTGTTGGAAATATGTTTAAGGTTCTAGCAAAGATGAATCTTTGGTGAGACTGAAGACGTTAATGGATGCTTGATAAACAGTGTTGTGAAGTGAATATTATCGTTACTTATGGTTTAAAATTGCGATGTTTGCGTCAATTTCGTGTGAAATATCCCCCCGAAATGCTGGCGAAATGGTAACGACAAGACCGGTTTTTTAAATCATGCTTTAACCTCTATTTCCTATTGCTTTGAATTCTCAATAAATCAAAATTAAATAGCTACATAAAACATACAGAACAGAACTTCTCTTTACGTAACATCGCTCACCGCCCATTACATTTAATCTTCAAAAC